AAAAGTATAAAGCTGCTCCATACATACTAATAGTCTTCAAGTTAATGCTAAAAGGAAGAAAACTGGGTATAGAGCTGTATATATTAATCTGTTGCCATTTATGTAGAAAAAGGAGCAGAGCACATGTTCTTATGTAATGGATAGCTCTAGAAGAATGCACGAGTTCAAAGATTTCCTTCTAGAGAGGATAATCAAGCGTGAAGGAAAGAGGTAGAGAAAGAAACTGACTCTTTACATATATACTATATCTGTTGAACTTTATGCCATGAAACTTTGTTACCCAGTTAAAAACTAATGAACAAATAAAAAAATAAAATCTAGATTTTAAAAACCTATTTTACAGGGTTGTCACAAAGATTTAGTGAGTCATATATATGATCTAACAGTACCTGTCATATAGTGAGTCTATAATTCAGATAGCCTTTGTTTCTACTTCTTTCCCACCAATTCCATAAATACTGTTGGGAGGGTTCCCATGATTTATTTTCTTCTGGGCCAAGGGACTGTCCATTTCAGTGAATTTTTGAACACTTTGAAATTGTGTACCAAATTTTATGTAAATACCAGGCTTTCTAGATTTTAGAAAGAAGGTCTACGACTTTCATCAGATTCCCCCACCCCCACCCCACCCCACCCCCGTTCTGTTTTTGGGTCACTGTAGCCTTGAATTTGTCATATATCCCAGACTGGCCTCAGACTATAGGCTTTCTATCTCAGCCTCCGAAGTGCTGCTATTATAGGTGTGTACCACCACACCCAGCTTCTTCATATTTTCAAAGGAGGATACCATGACCCTAAAAAGTTAAGATACATTAACCTAAGCTGTTATGTTGTTTTATGTTGCTTCAACTAGAAAATTCTTTATTGTTAGTTTTATAGCCAGGAAAAGACTGTGGCTGTGGTTTTTCCTAACAATTTTCTCTTCTCTAGATCTAAGTATTTTCTAATTTTGTCATGCTGTGCTGAAGTAATTTAAACTTTCTAGGTCTCAATTTCTTACCTATAAAGTGATGTGATTTATCTGCATAAAGTCAGACTTACCCTTCATCTTGAAAATATTTTATCTAAATTTACTATAAATAAACTTTTAAAAATAGAAATGTTTTTTATAAAACAAGGGGAAAAAATCTTGAGAATAGTTCTTAGGTAAAGACCTAAATTAAACCAAGAGATAAAATTGCAGATTTCATACATACATGTTAAAGGCACATGCAAGCCTGATCTATCCTGAATCTCAAAAATATATTTTCATTCCAGAAGTAAAGCTATCTTGCTAATGAGATGGGGCTGTTTAAGAATCTCCTGAGGACCTGTGAAGCAGAGGTGGCAGGCATCTCTGAAAAATCTCTCCCTACTCAAGCTCTTTCTTCTGCTTTGTTTTGTGGAAAGGAGAAAAATGTAGATACAACCCTGTGATTTGTAATCCTATATTTGATCATTATTGATGATTATCTGTTACTAATTTTCATAAATTAGAATTATAACTAGTTTGGTTTCAACCTATACACTTTGAGTTATACATTAGTTATTCATGTGATTATATAATCCAGTTTCTTAGAATCATTTGTTCCAAATCTGTGCTGTAGTAAATTTTGCTCATTCGGAAAACTTCATAGAGGGCCTGGTGAGATGGCTCAGTGGTCTAAAGCACCTACTTAGAACAAGCTTAGCAAAGCACAGGGACCGCGATTCAATCCCCCAGCACCACATGCCAGCCAGCCCTGCCCCCTGGTGGGCTGAGCTGTACACACACACACACACACACACACACACACACACACAAATAAATTAATTTTTAAAAAAAGAAAGAAAACTTCATAGAAGGTGAGGGTTTTGGCTGATAAAATGGCTCAGGGTTAGCAAGAGTATTTTCTTTCTTACTTTTTAAAAAATATATCTGGTACAGGGTCTCACTATGCCGCTCAGACTTGTAGTGATCCTCCTGTTTTCAGCCTCCCCAGTGCTGGGATTGCACAAATGTGCCACCACACCTGGATTCAGTGGCTGGCTCAGTGCATCCTGGGGGAGGCACAGCATGTGGTGCCGGGGATTGAACACTGGTCTCTGTACTTGCCTAAGGTTAGTCTGCTGAACTATCTCGATGGCCTTCAATAAAAGTATTTTCAACAAGCACATGAGGCTAAGGGCATTTCAGGTAGAGTGCAAGAGATACCTGGATTTTGGACCTTAGTTCTATCTTAAATTATCTGGAATCTTGAGCTAGTCATTTAACCTGTCCATGCTTGTTTCCTCTACTGTGAAATGCTAGTAATTAAAGCACCTACCATACAGCATTATCATAAGGATTAAGTAAGATAATACATGTCAGGGCTAGCCAGATCCCTAGCACCACATGCCATACCAGCCCTGCCCTGAAGCCATGCTGAGATGGTGACTGAGACTGGGCATGGTGGTGTACACCTGTAATTCCAGCACTTGGGAGGCTGAAAACAGGAGGATCACTATGAGTCTGATCTGTGTAGTGAGACCCTGTAGACTCTGTACTAAATACATTAAAAAAAAAAGATAACACGTGTCAAAACTGTATTGTAGTTAAAATGTAGAAAATATTTAATAAATACAGTTCTTTTTTCCTCTTGTTGTTACTGAAGGCATAGAGATGTGAAGCACCATGACCATTCTACAGCCTTAAGGAGTTAGGTCTACCTTATTTCTTTAAGACACAAATGTAGTATTATTACCTTGAAGCAGCCTTTCCTCTTCCTCCTCCTCTCC